GAGACTGTCTGTTATTTATTTGAATTCTTGTTTGTATTCATTTAGGTGAGTCAAGGACTTCTTCTGTTTGGTTAGCTTCCATAAGATTCTTATTTTTGAGTTGCACCAAGAAGAAATATTGCCCAAATCAGGTAGTAAAAGCTTTTCCATATCAACACCCTTATTCTTCCGATGGGGTTTCATATGAATAGTTGGGTCTGTTGTAGCGAGTTATAATCTAGATTACAATGCTCGAGTATCTTCTGCACCATTATATATAGCGGACTAGCTTAACGGGAGGAAAATTCATTTGAACGGGGCTTAGTTCGAATTGGGGCAAACGAATCGACTCTTTAAATCCGAACAAACGAATCGTCCAGCAATCGTTCGACTGGACAGTCGAGTTTATTATGGCCATTGCTATCAAAATAAAAACCATTAAGTTTGAGCAGGTTAACAAGATCGAAGTTTAAAACATTAGATTCATAAATATACACAGGCACCTTTCTTTATACAAATTTAAACTTTATTGACTAATCTAACAGAAACTAACACCTAACACAAACACACATTCCTACAAGTGTAGATAAGAGTAAAGAAAGTAAAGTAAGAGGTTGAGAGAATTTAATGATGGTAAAACCTCAGATTTTGTAAGAGCAAAACCAAGCAAACCTTTTAGGGTCTCTTTAGGGTTGCATTTAGTTTACATCAGTTCAGATGGAAGTGTACTTGCGTTTGTCCATGATGTGAAGAAGCTGCCCTTTGTTGAGCAGGTGGCTGGCTGGTTGTTCTTGGTCCTCGCGAGGCTTGAAGTGGGGTGGAGTCAGTCGTTTCAAGTTAAAGCGGCAACGGGCCAGTGGTGATAGCTACTGGTTTGTGGCGCACTAAACTTAACTAGACTCTCGATGGAAAATAAAGAACAGAAGGTATTTGAGGTGTGAATGTCTGAGCTGTGCGATTAATCCTTTCCATCTGGGTCTCAGTCTGCTTTCTTGGGGGTTTCTCTGCTTTGGTCTCGTTCTTAGGTTGTTGCTATGACTTAAAGAGTTGAAGAGAGTTACTTTTTAGAAGAAGAGTTGAAGAGGGAGCGGAGAGGGAGAAGAGCCGAAGGCATGGCTTTGGCCACAAGCTTTATAGGGAGGGTTTGTATCCACCCTCCATGGAAAGTTAACCAATCAGAAACTAACTTCCCTAAGACGTGGTTTATGACTCTTTGTTCGAAGTAGAGGAATTTGCATAGGCAAATTTGATGCAAACTGAGGCAGAAATGTTCATAATGTTAATATGTTGCAATCATATTAACATAAACTGTCAACAATCGTTCAGTGCAGCAAATTAGCTTCAAAACAACTCCACACATGAACTGTTTAGGAGCTTGTTTAGCTTCCGTAGAGTTAAACATTTTATGCAGAATTATTAAAACCATAATATTAATACAGGGGTAAGGGAAACGTGGCAAAACACATGATTACACATAAAGAGAGAATAAAGTTTACATTAAAACATCAGTCTCAAGCAAAGAGCTTATAGTAGTCCTTATCGAGTCTGTTCAGTGCTGTGTGGCACATTCCTTTGGGTCATAAATACCTTGGAATCAGATTACAACTGACCACAGAGTCTTCCCTGGGCAAAAGTTGGCTCATTTGTTGAATAAAAGCAAAATAATTATGTGTCTGGTAGGCCATATTTGTTACACTGTCTTCATATAATTCTAAAAATTCAGGATGGAAGACTGAAAGATAAGCTGTGTTTTCTTATTTTGATTTCAGTTTGACAGCATATTGGAGTGTTAATTTTAAACGTCGTCTTTGAACAGGGGATATTCTGAATGCTCCCAATGAGATTCATAGTCCTGTATGTAGATGTCCAGCATTTTAATGTAGGATATTCTAGCAGATCCATACTCTATACTTCCATAATCCATTTGAGATCTGATCATGGTTCTATAAAGACAAAGGATTGTAGTACAATCTGTGTGATGCTCTCGAATAAGATATTTTAAAAATACAAACATTCCATCTGTAATACATGGGGAAAATACTGTGTTAACTATGTGTATTAAAAGCAGAAGTAAATGCCAGTGTCTGTCACCTTCTAAGACCACATCAGCGAAGATTAGTGGGAGGTTTCTAATAAGACATAATGACTAGCGTCTGATACTGTTGCCACTACAAAAAAGGTTTATGCGTGTTCAGACGATTTGTTTTTGTCCATGAAACCATAATTGTGCATAAGTTCTGATTCAAATAACCAAACAACAACTTTATCTTGTATTGTGCCACACCCTCTTAAGACATTGTGCATGATATCTAAAACAAAGTTTTCTGAAACACTGAAGTATGACAGAATTGAATATACTGTTGCGTTTCAAGCCAAAACATGACGTTTCCCTCGGATTCTCATGAAGATAATTGTAATGCTCCTCATTCGTCAATTTGCTGTGCAAAACTATATGTGGATCATTTTCAGTAAACACTGTACCATACCATACAAACCATAAAGACCTACTTGGGGTTGCATCTTCTCCACCACAATGGACGCTAATTGTTCTCAAGCCTCTGATGACCAGTCTACAGCTCTGCACAAGACATTTTGGCAGAGGAGATCTAGTGGGGCCTAGCTAAAGGCTGATTTATACTTCTGCGTCAAACGCCGGCGTATGCTACGGCGCTGACGCATAGCCCTTCGCCGTGGCCGTCACTGACGTGCACCTCTCAAAAAATGTAACTACATGTCGCAATGACGCGTAGCGTAAGCTCTGTGATTGGTCGGCTTGGTAGCGGTGACGAGTCTGGGCGGGACCGAGAGCCGCGCGAATGGCGCGAGCAATTTTTACAAGTGTGGAGTCCCGTGAAGGAGCTCCGGATGGAAAGTTTTGTTTTGTGTTTACTTCATTGTTAAAGTTGTTGCACGTCCGCCGGTTCCTGCCTCAAAATGAGCGTGTTTGAGCCACTTGTACATCCCGGAAGTGTTCAGGAAAAGCAAAAAAGCAGAGAAGAAACTCGACACAGAGGAACATTTACACCTCACTGCCAACTAGCGTTTTGGAAATGTTAATGCAGACCAACAGAGACAGCGCGCAGAAGTATAAATGCACAGCCATGCGCGTTGCATGCGCCGTGGGTTATGCCGGTCACTTGACGCAGAAGTATAAATCAGGCTTAAGCCTGGTTTCTCTTGAGCTTTTTTTTTTTGTTGCTTCTATCAATTGTTAGTTTGGTTCCTTGTCACTGTTGCCAATGAACTGCTTGGTTGAAACTGGTGGAGCTGTGCATCAGTGCAGTTGCCCTTTAATAGACTGACCTTCAGCACTTCCAGCTTAAAGGTTCACGAAACCCTTGAGTACTTTTTTAAAGATTTGAACAGATTTGTGTGTGTTGAGCAACAGTTAAGACAGTGTTAGCACCTGTTAGCTTTAATTGTGGGGAAAAACTGGCCAATTTTGAGCTTTTGTCAGCTAATTTCAGCTTCCGGGTTTAAAATGATTTTTAGGGCGGATCAAAATTGGCGACGTAGCGCAGAACTGCAAGTGCAATGATGACGCGTCGGTTGCTCATTATTATTTAAAGCGGAGTTTTCTTATCCTATAAGAGCTGGCTTCTTAATTATTCATGACTGCACGTGCTTTCCGAAGACAAAGCAGACCTGGCGTCCAATGCCAAGCTCAGCTGTGAAATCCTCCGTTGATGACTGGGTGAGACGTGTCGCGATCCTGTCAGGGCTGATACAGCAAAGCTGTTTGTGTGCAGCAAACATTTTTGTTGGGAGAGCAGTAGGAGAATTGAAGAATGGCAGACATTGTCTTTTATCAGGAGTTCGTTCACATTTAGACACATTGCCGTGCTGCTGTGTTCGCCTAAATCCTCTAGATTACCAGCAGGGCTAATGGTTTAAATAAACAGGGCAGAGACCTGCTGCACTGAGTCTGCATTCAGACCAGGGGATTGAGAGAAAAGTCCTCATTTATAGTGTTTATATGAACACGATTATCTTTATAATGAAATAAATTGTTGTTATGTGTATATGAAATTACAAATGTAGCAGGGCATTAAATTACTGTTTATTTCTTTGCATTTTAATTTTGTAAACTATAAAATCATGCGTCTCCTCACGGTTTATGTCTCATTTTGTGAACTGACAACAGTTGTTCCTTCTCCCCTGCTCTGCTGGCCACACCCACTCTTGCCTTTTGCTTGCGGAGCTCCACGCCCATAACGATGCATCTTTTGAAAAAACTCTGAGGTGGACCTGAACCGAAAGTAGATGTGTCATGACCCTTTAGGTATTTAAAATATTATATCTATGTTAAACTGCTTTGACGATTTGCATTGTAAATAGGGCTATAGAAATAAGATCAATTGAATGAATTGACATAAAATGCATTATATAGTCAAGTAAACTTGAAAACTTACGCCTCATTCACACAGGGTATCAGCGTCAACGCTTCCCATTCACTTTGAGTGTGTGACGTCAGGCGCTGCCGAACTGCATTGTGGATTTGCTCGCTGCAGAAGTTGGGACAAGCTCAACTTTAAGCGCCGACAGAAGCGTCAGCCAATCAGATTGCTGTATGCAAATACACCAGCCTACTGCTGACTGAATTTCATTGGCTGACGCTGCTATGACGATCGTGTCAGCCCCAACTTGAGACACGCCTTAAGTCAAGTGTTGACGCTGATGCCCCGTGTAAATGGGACGTTAGAATTGCAAGAAACATATGGTAAACTAAGGAGTAAACTATTATTGTTTGTTAATGCAACTGTTTTTGCAAAAATGCAGGTTCTAGATATGCATTAGACAAACATTTGAGTTTTTAAACCTTCTTTGCTTTCCTTTTACAATTTTAAATGAAAAGAACAAAAAGTGTTTGTGTAAGAAATGCACATAATAATTGTCTAAAATGAATCTAAGCATATTTTCAAAAACACTACGTTGTTTTGAAAACTAAAAACACCTTGAATTGCATTTTCATTTTGATGCAAACATTTCAAAAATTAAAAGGACACAAACTAGTAAAAATGTACAATTTGCCAATAAATTCTGCAGTTTTATTTTTCTCAAAAATGATTTAAAATAAACATGAAAGGTACACAGACACGAAGCAATTAATAAACACTTTTTGAGCTGTACAAAAAAAAGTGAAGTATTAAACGGGTGAAACCACTTTAATTAACAGGTGCAAAGTCAAACGTTTTGTTTTTGCAAAACATTCAGAAGGGGAAAAATGTTTACAGTGCAATCATTATTAGCTTTATCTTGATGCGTGTTCTGCTGGCAACATGAAGATCTTCATGGAAAGGCTTCGCCAATGAGCTCTATAGCAAGTTTAGCATCGGTGTCTGTCTGAACATGTAACGTGCCAGAAAACTGGCCTGCAGCATCTGGCACGAACTGCACAGGGAGGTTGATGTAGTGTTGAGATCTAGACAGACACACAGAAAAAGTTCAATGAAAATAAAATGACACAATACACAAACTAGAATGGTTTACAGTAGTAAAAGATTTATTCTGTGTAACAGAATACACCTAACATCAGAAGATCGTTCTGGACCTGCTTTGTTTGCATTTTTTTGTGTTCTCAGTGCAATTGTGGTGTTTGGTGCCAAAAAAAAGCTATTTGTTTTTGCAAACAATGTGCTTAGCATATACAAGTACACCCCTCATAATATATAATATTATAATTGTGCATACACATTAGATAAGTCAGTACTGAAGTCAAATCTGGAGCTTATCATAAAAATAACTTGTGATAACAGTCCAAAAACTAGTACACCAAAATTTATGTTATAGAAAAATATCAATTACAAAAAAAAAAAGCAAAAAAAAAAAAAAAGTTGGTTAAAATTTTGTAGGTTGTAATTTTTTTTTCAATATTTAGCTTGAATTTAATTGTATTGTCTTTGAATTTCTAAATATGTTTAGTGACTAAAAATTTATTTTAATAAATATATCTGTTTAATAAATCTGTTTTGTTGAAATGCATCAAAATACATTGCCTATATTCACTTAGAAATAGACAATATTCATTTTAGAAATAGACAAAAATATTTATTTTCAAAATGGGCTGAACTCAATTATGCTGAGCACTGTATACATATTTGTATTAAAAGATTTTAAATACCAAATGCATGCATATTCTAAACCGTATACAGTATTGAAAACAACTATTAACAAGCACTGATTCAGCTCAGAATCAGAGCCTTCACATCAGGCATTGACAGCAGAGAGTGACATGGATATGACTTCTACTTGATGTTATTTCTTTAACCGAATTGGGTAAACAGTCTATTAGTACTTCCTTTAACTGAGAAAGAATGTAACTTACCTTAGAGAATAATTTGAATGCTTGATGTAAAAAGGCTCTTCAGGACTTATGAATTTTAGCTGCAAATTAGAAAAGCTTCAAATAAATCTCATGTCAGACATTAAACAGCAACAGAAACAACACTGCACACATCAACATGCAATATGTCCGTTTCATGACTAAATTTGTAAGATCTGGATGCATTTTCAATAAAATAGTTCTAATCCTTTTTTTTCTTATTAAGAGTCCAAGATACATTTCTTTCTTGCATCAATTCTTAATCTAATTTTAATAATCAACTTAAATTGGGTTTCATTTAAAAAGGTAAAGCACCCAAATCTCAGTGTTTTACAATTAGACCTTGCATTAAAGTGTTACTGACACTTTAAATCATTTTTAAGTACTGTAAAATGTATTGGACTATTTATTTATTTATTTTTTAATTTTGAAAATGTATCATTAAAAAAATCTGGAATTCAAAACTGTATTTGGCCTGTATTTTTTTAAATAGAAATTATACAGTGAAAATACGTGAATATATTAGAGGAGTCAAAGAAAAATAAACCAAAAAACTGGAACGAAGAATTGTTATTTTTGGTTTAATCAGGTCAAATCTCACAGGAATCTTAATTCTTGATTCATCTATAAGTACATGATGACACTTTATTGATGTCAATAGTGTTTTAGGGGCTGTTTACACCTGGTCACATTTTTTCTGATCAGATTGCTATGATCATGATATGGCCAGCTGTAAATGCCATTCTGAAATGCATTTGAGACTGAGATAAATCAGATTCCTCAGATCCCTTTAGGAGGTGGTTTCCAGACTAAACTGGACAGGTCTGAATGCTTCTGGTTATTGAAACCACATATGAAAATTTTACTCCAACCACAAAAAAAATAAATAAATGTGAGAGTGATCGTGTTGTGACCTATATGACCATCAGATATACAAGCGCAAATGACACAGATGACAATTTGGTTTTTTTTTTTTTTTTTCACTTTGTTTTATTTTTGACCATGAAAAGATTCTATAAAATGTTTATATTACTATCCGACGGCAGCACTAATAACTGAGATGCAGCACACTCCTGTTGCTCATCTCAGTGAAAAGAGAGAAATAATAATAAAGAATATAGTGTTTCGTTCATTTACAAAGACAAGTTGTATTGTTTTTAGAACAGTATGTTATTTAAAGCCTGTACAGTTTTGAAGGATATTCTGTAGAGATGTCACGATTCTCAATATAATATTGAACCGTTCGGTACGACCTCCACGGTTCAATACATGCTTGTGAATTGCAGTTTTCTCAGTTTTAGTTTAAATAATGTATGTGCGTTGTATATCTCCCTGAATTGACTGTGTGTGCCTGTAAGTCCATAAGCTGAGATGAGGAAACTCCTCCCCACGAGTAAACATCCAATCACTATGCTCTAAAGTTAGGGGGCGCTTAACCATCATTCCACACTTTAACATTGCGAGCAGCAGTGAAGTGAGGCTGAGGCAACAGTACAAGGAAGCGCCGATGAATTGAGGCAACAGTACAAGGAAGCGCCGATGAATTGAGGCAACAGTACAAGGAAGCGCCGGTGAAGTGAGGCAACAGTACAAGGAAGCGCCGGCGAAGTGAGGCAACAGTACAAGGAAGCGCCAGCATTTAAATCTGCGGTGCGAGGATATTTCAGTTTTGCCGGTAAGTATAATGCCAATAAAAGAAAAAACTGAACAAAAAATAACTGTGTGCAAGGATTGTTTTACGCGTATAACCATGACTGCACATCTGCAGCGCCATCACCCAGCAATATCACTGTCTAACGGCTGGATAGCAGAGAAGGTAATAAAGTCCTCAAATAGCAACAATCCCTCGCTGAATCTTTCAAGCAAACATACCCAACTGGTTCCGAGAGATACATAAAATAACAATGGCAGTGCGGGTGTTTATTGCTGAAGATTTGAAGCTGTTTTCTGTGATTGGAGATGCAGACTTTTGTCATCTTATAAAAGCACTCGATCCACGTTACAGACTACAGTCTCACATTTTTTCAGCACCGAGATAATTAAGATGGTTTGTTTAGGTTTACTGAAGTACAAATATGTTTATCTAAAATGGCCAATTTATCTTTATTAACTTCACATGTATGTTTATTTTCAAAATGTAGGATTGTGTTCCCCAGTTTGTACATAGGCTACCAGCAGCTGTGAGATTTCAGTATAATTTTTTTTTTCATACAACACAATAGGAACCAGTGTACTTTTCTTGGCTTTTAAATAAAACAAAATGAGTTTTGCAATAAATAGTTTTTTTTCTTCTTAACCTCTTACTGTTCCCATTGCCTATAGAATAAAAAAAAAAAAAAAACACGTGTCAAGCCATGAGAACCGAACCGAAAACAGTGTTAAAAAAACAGAGGCATGTATTGAACCGTGGGCTAACTGTATTGTTGCATCCCAAATATTTTGCACATAACTGTATGACAAAAATAGCCGTTTTATTTAGCCTATAATGAAAGTAATCAGAGTCTGTTTTGTGGACTTGTAATAATGTACTACAGCTTGCATGTACAATCATTTGAATGCAAAATAAGATTTACGTTTCATCATAATATTAAATATAAAGTGGTGTGTAACTGACTCTTCAGTTGACAGAACCTAAAGTTGCATAAAGCACAGGATTTGAACATCCTAATCATGTCCATTTAGCAGAAACGCATTCATGTGGTCAAATGTAAATGGATAAGATAGCCGTCCGATCAGAAACGATGCAGAAGTGACCAGGTATAAACAGGCCCTAAGTGTGTGCAGTTCATTGTTCTCACCTCATGTGTGCTGGGGGAATTGTTTCTGAAGTTAACTTTCAGTACGCTGGTGGAATGAACACGCGTGGCAGGAAATGTATAGACACTTTGGGGTGCATAGAGACCTTTTCTATGCATCTCAGTTGTAGAGCTGAATAAATAGGAAAAAAATAAATATAAAACAGCTGAGCAACTATGGATGAAATTGTTTACTTTTATAGTAAATCAGTAGTCCTTCATCAAACAAGTAAATTAAACATGACAATGCAAGCAAAGGACGTTTCCTTCAGTGAAAGCAGAGTTCTGTGTTGGCTTTCCACTACATACCATTTAGAAACCTGTGTGTTCTAACAAGTAGCCATGTCAAATTTGTTCTCACTGGCAGCTTAGATATGAAAAAGAAATGTGGTGAACTTAAGTGTTGTATTACAGTATCCTACAGATGTGGTTACAGAGAATGCTCCTGTGAAGAAAAATGATTGTGTGACATCAGAGCCTTTACGGTGTTCCTACGTGATACACTAAGACAGTGGTTCTCAAAGTGGGGGTCGGGACCCACCAAGGGGTCGCGGGACAACGAAAGGGGGTCGCCTGGTGTTTTCCAAAAATGTATTTTTTTTTTTATTAAACCATAAGATATACCATATGTTATCCATAACCTACTGAAGAGAAAAAAATAGTCGTTTATATTTACTATATACTAGTTACTATAGTAGCTTATAGTTACTAGTTCTATTGGATTGCGACCCCTGGGGTAATTACATTATATTAAAGACTCAGCAATAGCGTCAGATGCAGCAGATTAATTTTATAATAGCAGGTTAAACTTTCTGGCCCATTTGCAGCACTCGCATACATTTTAAAAAAAATGAAACGAAGAATAGACTTGCGCCTATTGGTGTGTGAGCGCCATTGCATGCAAGGTTTCTGTATTTATAACCACCTCAGAGGATATTGGGGGTCGCGAGTCACTGGCACTGTTATTTTGGGGGTCATAAGCTGAAAAGTTTGGCAACCCCTGCACTAAGGCCCCGTTTACACTAGTGCGTTTTAGTTTGAAAACGCATAAGTTTTGCTACGGTTACGCCATCCGTCCACACTACGCCGGAGTTCTCGAGCGCTGAAAACAGAGCTTTTTGAAAATGCTGGAGAGGCCGTTTTCATTCTAAAACGCTGCTGCTCCGTCTCAGTGTGGATGGGGAAAGACGGAGACATCTGAAAACGGAGGCGGGGCTGCAAACGTTCGCCTATCTGATTGGGGCTTTTCCTCAATATTAAGTAGCCCACACAGAGTTCAGTCTCGCATCCTCTTCTTGTAAGTTAAGACCTCGCAAGTTTGATCAAGGCTGCAGTCTCCATACCGAGGACACGGGTAAATCTTCAAAGGGAACAGTGTACTTTATAACTTCATTCACATCACCTTGGCTACGTTGTTTCACTTTCTCAACAAAAAAATGTAAACATGATTTAAGGAACTGCCTATTTTCTTTTTAATATTAGCAACTTAACAGACAGCAGAAATGTTGAGGCGCCGTGCTGCATATATGGGCGTCATCTTCACTGTGTGGATATTTATAACAAAACGGAGGCTATAACAACTGCCTCCTTTCAATTTCAGTGAAAATACGAAACGCACCCTCTCTTTTGCTGAATATCAGTTTTAATAATCGATAATTATAAAAGTATAACATACAATAAGTTTATACATTGTAGGAAATAAAGGCAAGCGATCAGTCAATGTATCTGGATTAATCATTAACTTATCTTTGCGCTTAACCAAAACATGTTACCCGTGAACAAGTAACTTAATAGATTCCAATGACCAAAGTCAGGGAATTGGCCTATGTCGTTAGATAAAGAAACAACATGAAATATAGCTGCAAGCAGCAATTAACGGGGGTCAAGCAGTTTAGCAAGGTAGGGTTATATAGCAGTTAGGACGCCTGTAAGTAGTTTATTCGACAATGAAATATATGATTACAGTGTTAGAGTTTATAGATTGAGCTAACAAACGTTTGATTAAACACTCCAGAAATGCAACATCAATTTTTACATAATGACAAATTTCTTATGAACATTTCGAGTGACCGCTTTTATGTCAAACTGACCAGTATAAGCAGCCCTAAGATAAAATGTGTAGATCGAGTCATGGCACCTTAGACAAAGACACGGCATGTCAAATTTCTAGTTAATCAGATAAATGGTTACTCAGATACAGTGATTTTACAATGTATAGCGCCACCATGTGGCCAATGTCTACGAGTTTCATGCTATGACCTCCGATTAACCTCTTGCATATGTGTAACAAGTTTGGTGTAGATATTTCAATCCATTCATGAGTTTTGGCTATTTTAGCTCTTCCCAACAAAAATGACAAAACTATATAACTATATGAACTAATAATTTTGTGTTTTATTAAAAGAATTTAAAAATCTACAGAGTAAAAGGTGTGACAAGCTTTGACAAAATTTAATCTTAAATGCATTAATTGTGTTCAGTTCATGTCAATTTGGGATTCAGAATGCATTACATTACATTACATTCTTTGCTACAGAGCAGTAAAATAAACTATAAACTATAAGTGGTCTGTTACTGCCATCTAGTGGACACAGTTGTGATTTTCTTTACAAATGTTTTAAAACTAGGTGTTTAATTATAGAACCAGTTTTGCCTAGTAGAATTATTACACAGATGTTAACTGTGACCAAATTAGATGTTTAATGCATAGCAGTGTTTATATCAGGTCAAACTGTGATTCAGAATGATCCTAAATGCAATTTCCCTGACTTTAAACTCAAAAAAATGTAAAACAACAAAGGTATGCAAATGTTATGAACAATAAATAAGTGGTCTTGTGGTGACATCTAGTGGTTAGAAATGGTAGGTAACAGTTAAAAGTCTGTGTTATAGTGGCTAAAATGATAGAATACTGAAAATATGTGTTTTTAAGACATTTAAACATCCAAGATGGGCAAAAAAACAACAACTTGTAAATCATTTCAGTGATAAGTGTGTAAATGAAGCACATTTACTGCATTTTTAAGCCATTTTATGATGTTTTTAGAACCATTTCTACTATTATAGCGCCACCTATTGCCCGATCACCACAAAATTTAGCATGTTTATTCGCATTGATATGCCACATGTGCTCATCAATTTCTGTGATGTTTTGGGTTTTTCTTATTGTTTAACAGGTATGTAGGTTCGTGTAGACACGCCCCTTTTGTAAATGAGCCTGTTACAGCTATCTAAAATGGAAAGATCAACTTTATTTTGATAATTATTGATCTACTCAGTCCAGAGGTTCATACAACACTGGTTTCGTTGCGATTGAGTTAAAAACCAGAGACTAGTTCGCAAAAGTAGGTTTTGTTTATATTGATGTTTTTTTAATGAACAGTGTGAGTGACAGCAGTGGTTTTAGTCTCAAACTGTTCAGTATAAGCAGTCCTATCATATGATATGTAGATTAAGTGTATTTGTGAAATAGTGTTTAAATGAAGCACATTTACTTTATTTTTAAGCCATTTGGCATGTTTTTAAGACTATTTTTGCTATTATAGCGCCACCTATGGTTTGATCTTCACAAAATTTTGCAAGTTTCTTCTCATTGATATGGCACATGTGCTCACCAATTTCTGTGATGTTGTGAGTTTTCCTTATTGGTTTAGAGGCATGTAGGTTCGTGTGGACACGCCCCTTTTGTAAATTAGCCTGTTACAGCTAGCCAAAGTGAAAAGTTCAACTTTTTTTTGATAATTATTGATCTACACAGTCCAGAGATTCTCACAACACTGGTTTCGTTGCGATTGAGTGAAAAACCAGGGACTAGCTCGCAAAAGTAGGTTTTTCATATGTTGATGAATATTTAATAAACGGTGTGAGTGACAGCAGTGGTTTGAGTGTCAAACTGTTCGGTAGGAGCAGGCCTATCATATGATAAGTATTTTGTGTGGTTTTGCAAAAGGTTGTGTGATACACAACCCATTACACCTTAAAATTGCGTAAAATCGCCCCCTAGTGGCCGATTTCTTTCAAAATTCTTACAGACCTCTAGGTCCATAAGTCGAACATGCCCAGTGAGTTTCGTTCCGATCGCTGATCGTTAACCTTGCTAAATGGCTGCACAATTTTAATTGGCTAATGGCGGCCATGTTTTTTGAGATGTGCCATTGTCCTTATAATATGTCATGGCAAACTGGTCAAAGACACTGCATGACAAATTTCAAGCTGATCGGACAAACGGTTGTAAGGTTAGAGTCATTTTATGGTTTTTAAGCTTTATAGCGCCACCATGTGGCCAAAGTCCGCTGTTTTTGCACTGTCACATCAAATTGAGCTTATACATGTGTGTACCAAGTTTGGTGATGATATCTCATTCCGTTCAAAAGTTATAGCTCCAATTAGCATTTAGCTTCAATTAGCATTGAACATTGTTGTGCACTGTTTCGAGTGAGAATAAAAATTTCAACTTTTTTTTGATAATTATTGATATTCAGTGTCCAGAGAACATTCGAGAGCTGGTTTGGTTTAGATTGAGTGAAAAACCTAGGACTAGTTCGCAAAAGTAGGTTTCGGACAAATTGCGATGTAGCGGGAAAACGGTGCGTCGTAGAGCAAAAATTTCTGCTGTACACTTTTGTTCAGGTTAACCCAAGGATTGAAAAAATGTAAAGTTTTTGAGTCTACGACAAACGGTGAACGAACAGCGGTCAAAAATGTCCAAAATATTGTTTTTTGGCGCCATAGCGCCACCTATGGTCCGATTTGGCTGATCTTTGGTGAGGATGTAGTGTACCGGAGTACTACAATCTGGCCAAGTTTCAGCTCTCTCGGACTTACGGTTTGGTCTGGGCAATAGTGACTTCGGCAGAATAATAATAATAAATATAGCTGCAAGCAGCAATAAACGGGGGTCAAGCAGTTTAGCAGGGTGAGGTCATATAGCAGTTAGGACGCCTGTAAGTAGTTTATTTGACAATGAAATATATGATTACAGTGTTAGAGTTTATAGATTGAGCTAACAAACGTTTGATTAAACACTCCAGAAATGCAACATCAGTTTTTACATAATGACAAATTTCTTATGAACATTTCGAGTGACCGCTTTTATGTCAAAGTGACCAGTATAAGCAGCCCTAAGATAAAATG